CGAGTTGCTCGATGTAACTGCCAGCGCTCATCTTCAGCCCCAGGTCGTACATAATTGATTATCGGTCTTCTCATCCCAGGTACTCCGGTCCATACCATCAACTCGCGCCTCGGCGACTACGGTGAAGATGATGTCCTAGACCGTAGCGACGTTGTCGGAGCTGCTCGATGTTGGAGGTATTCAGATTTTTAGATCAAGAGTACTGGTCTCCAGGCAGCTATCCATGGTGACTCCATAGAAGTTTCTCAGCTATTTGGAGGTGACATGAATTCCGAACAGGGTACAGCATGGGGATTGCGAAAAATGGCGGTGTGAGTACGACCCCCCACCGCAAGGACGTCCAGATACGAGGGGGGGGCCCCCCCCCCTTAGGCGGCTCTGCTCTAAAATCCAGGCAATAAGAGGCTGTTTCAGCCTCATGCAATATGAGGCTGAAAACAGCCTCGCATTACCTACAATTTTGTCTTAGGATTCAAAATAAAACTCCTCGTTCGATAACCATGTATGACATGCAACTTGTAAGTAAGAAGGAACACAATCGAAACAGCGACTAATGGTGATCATTAATGAGCTGAACTGGTGAAAAAATTAGCCCCAAGGTCAGCGTGTCAGGTTTCAGATGTGCATTCAATGAATGGTGATGGGGAAATCATAAAGACATGAACGACACAACAAAGCGAAACATGAAAAATAAAAAAAATGCGGAGACAAACGAGAAAAAGGATAACCATGCGTAAATCGTTCTATACTTGGCCTATTATCGATCGCAAATGATTGGTCGCAACCGCTTTCGCTGCAAAAAACGTCATTGGAGCGCGGTAACTCGAAAGTCAGCGTCCTGGGGTCTTTTCAGGAGCTTATATCTCTTTTAGGTGCGGAGCTTTTGGGGAATGGTGAGCAGCATGCAACGGCAAAGTTTCTACTGTTGTGATTCTACCTAGTTGCCAAACTGACAATCAATCCCGTTGCTGAATATTCGGCATGGGTTGGATAAGGCTAGGGTAAATGGTCAGCGGGTTCTAATGCTTCACACGAGGAGTACTTATTTCGAACGCAATTTCATCAGGATTGAAATAGTCTTGAAACCGCCCTATCTTTTCTCTTTCCAATAAGCTTTACAGTTATTCTGAAGACCCAACTAGTTCAGGAGATATTTTAGATGGGTCACAGACGCGCTACCCTCTGACCCACCCGAAAATCGACTCCTTCTGTGCCATTGTGAGGATACACCTTCACGAATCTGTTTGAGACGTATTATTTAGTCATCTACGTACTTACGAGTTCATGCTATCAACTGACATTTATTTATTTGTTTATTTATTCTTGATATTCTTGCTATATTGCTAACAGATTCTTTTATTATTTTGTAGTCCTATTTACATCCGGGTCTTCTGCAGCTTTCGTTCCTTCCATCAAACTTAGCAATGACACTTTTGTACTGTTTGATGCCTAGCGAGTTTTGCGATACTCCCCATGTATCCCGCGACCAAGTACGAACCCGTTAAGTAGTTTCGGGGATTTTGCATGAAAAGAGGCTGTTAAACGTAGCAGTTCAATCTGTAAAGAATACACTCATAATAAATTTCATTTTTTTAACATCTCAACTTCCATAGCTCCACTCCCACTATCAACTGAAATGTCGAAGCATTGCCCGGCTCTGAGTGACCCTTGAGATTACGACCCCCCCTCCCCAGCGGCCAAGTACGACCCCCCCCCCCTATGGGTTTCGCACAACGATGCTGTACCCTGATCGAAGTCTTCTCCAGTCAGGCTGCGACTGGAGATGACTTCATATTTTGGTGTACATGAAGGTGATGGCGAGAGCCAGCTCCTGCTTATCGAGGAACATCTTGGGTATCTTCCGCCCCCGGTACTCGTATCCACGTCCTCTGTCTGAGCTGAAACTTCGCTGATATGTGACTTGCGGTCAAAATGCCTTTTTTTGCCCCCCCCCCTGTACATACACACATATCGACATACCGATACACCGACACACAGAACTTCTTTTTTTATAAAATAGGGTGATTAAAGTTGATTGAATTGCAATGTAATGCGACGGAAGCCTCAAAATAGGGCTCGCGGTGAAAATTGCTCAACAAAGATATTCTAATTGCTTTGTAAGATATTGTCCTTCTTGGTAAAGGAGAGCTGAAGGCGTGCAAGGCTCAACTTCGACGCAGGCCCCCATTGAGGTTCTGTAGGTTCAAGAAGAATGCTAAAGAGCTAACCAAGCCAGCACTAACAAGGGAGGTCTTTCAGGTCGTGGCGCGCTTTTCAAAAATGGTTTGTTGCTTGTTGTAGGGGTCCATGCAAGGATTACAAAAATGGGTTTCATTTTTGCTATGCGTTTCTGGGGAGGTCAAAAACTGATTCGACACAATTTAACGAGAAAGGGCGATTTTAACCGTCTTTTTGGGCTCTGTTGTAGCTGTAACGCCGAGAGTGAATAGGTTGTGAGGTGTTTCTTCACTATGTATCGAAAAGAGAGCAAAACGAAAGAAGTGTATGAGAAAAGTCAGTACCGATAGCTTACTCCAACGATTCCTGCAACTACGTTCCGTGGTCTACGGATTTTAGATTGGATAGTGCGGTGAGCTCTCACGAAGAAGGTTTGTGGATCGAAGCCTCTTGTGCAACTGGTTTGCATTTGCGGTCTCCATGCGTTTTTCGGATTTCCGTCTCCGTGTGTTCCTGCGTGCGTGATGATGATGAATATACGCCATCAAAGAAGTCATTCTGTACACTCAAAGTTCACGAGTCGACCCTGCTTAACTATTGCACTCTCGAAACATTACCAGGGAAAATCTTGCTGAAAGTTGGGCTACGGGGATGACTGGATGCCCTACTCACGAGTACGACACTCATTTTTGACCATGGCGCAACCTATCACCGATTTCTGCAATAGCATTGCACTGAAGTAGCTGTCAACCTGCACCCAGGGGCTCAGCTCGAGGAGAAAATTTTCGTTGAAAGTCTGTATATTAAGGTCATTAAGGGCCCTGATCACGATTCTGACCTTTATAATTATTGCCTAGGTCATTTGGCGCCGACATGGCTCTGAATACCCCCCCCTAAGTGCGGGTTAGGATGCTGCGAGAACCACTTGAGAAACTACAGTGCTGCCTCACTGTGTGCCAGATCAAGTACTTTTTCACCTCTTCTTATATTGTTTAAAATGCAATGTCATTCACTGTGCATACTCAACACTAGAAATAGAGAAGAGGCCTCAGAAAAGAAAAAAAATTTTTTCAGAATTGTTTTCCTCACCGACTTTTCACCGTTTTTGTTAACCTTCCAGGAAATGCCAAAATTAAAAAAAACGAAACCCATTTTTGTGATCCTTATATGGACCCCTAAAACATGCAACAAACCATTTTTGAAAAGCGCGCCATGACCTGAAAGATCTCCATTGACAGTGAAAAGCAGAAGAAAACGCCGAATTGCTCCAATAACACCATTTCACCGTTCTGAACAGTGCGTGAAGTGTTGGTCGTAGGAAAACCCAAAGAGCAAGGTCACACAAAACATTTGGAACCCCATATGAAGGTCGTAAAATGAAACGATAATGGCTTTATGGAGACGAAGCCGCGGCGTTCCTCTTGAACACATTTGAGTCAAAATCCTCCGCGATATGACGCGCCACAATCGCGCCATCCTTGAATGACGAGTTGCATTCTGCCGTCGGTCATCACAGAATGTCCCTTAAGATCGAAAAAGGGTCATGATGAGCGATGAAATCACCATCGCCATGAAGTTTACTGCCTACACATTCATTCGAAAATTAGTCGAGAAAGTAGAGTAAAGAGTTGGGTGATCGTGGTTGTTGGATTCTTCTTCTTATTTTGCAGAATGCCTGCTTATTCACGAAGGAGAAGGTTCCTTGTTGTCTGTGTTGAAGCGGCGACGATGGGCGAACTCTTTGACTACCAATGCCGACACTATAGCAAAAGGAATCAGCATTTTTTTAATCGCAATCACTCTCAGCGCTGCTGATCGTATGCAATCCAGTTCGTGAAAAGTTCGTTTTTGACATTGCTTTACTCTTTCGCCCCCTTCCCGTCGAAAATCAAGCCAGGTTTTGGTCGAACATCTTCTTTGAGCGTAGACCTCGGTATTAATGCCTTTTCTGGGGTAGGATTGGCGGTAGCTTCTTGGAGACAAAATATCCAATCCGCTCTCCTAAAAACCCTCTCGGGTTTGCTGAGAGATAGTTTGACCCTTATCGACAAGATATCAATGTTTGTTGGGCTGAGAACTTCTGTTACGCTCGCGTGGCAGCCGGAGAATTGGCCTCGGAGGGCTCGGGTGTGAGTGAACAACCTATTGTGCGTAAAATGTTAGAATGTGTGAGGGTACAGTGGCCATGGATTGTCGTCAAACGAGACGTTAGAGGATAACAGAAAATCACCACGATTTAGCAAGAGCGAGTTCAAAGTAGCTCCGGACGATCCACCAGCGCACAACGCTGGGCCAGTCCCGTGAAGCGCTGAGCCCAGCGCCTTTTGATATCAACTGGGGTTGCCACGTTAGGGGCTTACGGGTTAGAATAACGCTGAGAAACAAGGGATTTGGCCCTAATTATTCACTGGAAAGATTTCGACCGAGCTCTGCCCTAAATTTCAAAAAGTGTGGCATTACACGGTCATTACTGCTTCTTCCCAAAAATAAATAAATGCGATACTTTGGAACTGATCGTACTCCCTCACATTTTTCTTTTCAGATGGTCTCATTCACGTTGAGGAAGTAATCAGCCTGGTATACAACTACATTGGGGCTGCTTCGACGTAGTGGAGTGATCGCCTGGTTCCACGAAGAACTTCGGAAAATAAGCGAAATTGAATTTCGCTTCATGGTCTGTGGGATCACATCCAAGCTCTCATGCTCACTCACTCGCTATTCACTTTCAGGATAAAGACGACCATTAGAGGCTGCAAAAACACTTTCCTATTCTCCGTGCAACGTATTCCTTTTTCCAAGACGTCCTTTCATGTGATGTTCTGATGGAATGTAAACCTGGTACTGCACGAGTTCCATGAATTAGAAGGCTTCCACCTTTGGAAGCACTTTGGAAGCGAATCATGCATGTGAACTTAGGATGTGTACTGAAAGAACACCCTGAAAGCACAGTCCACACTGGTTGTGTGGGCGGAATCGGACCCCAGCACTGATCCCGCCACATTAACCTTCTCTAATTACATTAATTGGTTTCAGTTCGGATTATGGAAGTTTTCAAGATGTTGTGCCCGAAGAATATGTTCTACATTGTAACTGCCAGGAAGTTCAGTGGCCAGGAAGGCAATATCCATGAACCGATCTACGGAGTAGAAATGCGAATCGTAGATATAGATGAGGTGGGTTTCGAGTAGGTAATGTGATCCACGAAATGTAGGGGAGCTATTGCCTTTGTTCCGTCCGTGCTACCTGCTATCTTTAAGAATGTTGTTCGCTTTATCCAAATGCGTGCTTATGCTCGCTCTCCGCAGAGCAAGCATCAAATGCTTGTTCGATAAAAGGATGAGAGCTCCTGAAAGCCTTGATGATCTAATGAAAGGGTGAGGTCGGGGTAGCTGTCCTGGAATGTCGCAGCTACCACCGGTGCTCTTGATGAGGATGACTCACAGAATCGCCAAAAATCGTGAAAAGCAGACCTGTAGAGTGATCCTGGCTTCAGCATGCTTGAAGTTTTTCGTGAGAGAGTTGCTTATGCCCCCCCACTGTTCGTGTTTAACTTCTCTTAGGTTGTTGAAACCCAAGAATTATTTTAAAGGGGACCATGAAGCAGTTTGAATCCGCTCTAGAAACGGTGAATCCTGCTCTGCGCTTTCCGTCGAAGAACGACTATATTGCTACAAAATTCGACCTCAAACCACGAGAAACAAATAAACGGTAAGCTTTTGTCTCGACTCTTTTCCAAATCTTAATTTACAATGTTTTGCAGTGCAGAAGGGAGGGGATGGATTAGGCGCTGGTCCGCTCTCCACCAATTGTAGAAGGCACACGGCAGCAACTGGTGGAAAGCGGGTGGGCGATCTGACGAGGGAGTTCGTTCAGCGGTGAGCTTTTTGAAACGATTTGTAGCATGTTGTAGGGGTCTATGCATTGACCACACAGGTAGGGTTCATTTTTGCAAAACGCTATTGGGAATGCCAAAAGACGAATAAAAACAAATTGCTGAGAATAGGCAAATTTAATCATCTCATTCGGCTCTGTTCCAGCTGTAAAGCTGAGTACGTATAAATTCTGTGGGTTTTCCTCGACTGGG